CGTACGTCGTGTCGACGTCGTAGACGTGACGACGTGACGAGTAGAGAGAGTAGAGTAGAGACGTAGAGAGAGAGAGAGAGAGAGAGAGAGAGAGAGAGAGAGAGAGAGAGAGCGAGAGAGAAAGAGGGAGGGGGAAGTGGGGGCGTTAGTCATGAATATAGAGGAGGTAAGGAGAGGACGAGGGGGGGAAGGTCAGGCTCGCGCGAATACAAAACAACATGATGACGTGTTTATAGAGTTAGGCAAAATGGCAACAAACAGAATTAACGAAAAGAGAGATAGCGAGAGGGCAATTAAGAAAGTTAGGGATGGGGTAATGGAAGAAGATGAAGGAAAGAGAGAGGGGAAGGAGAGGTTAAACGAGATATACGAAATGTAGAGAACTAGACGGCAACTTAAAAGGGGGCGGGGAAGGGAGAGAGCAATAAAGAATATGGGTAAGACGCGACACGACGTGTTAGTTTATTTCATTCTTACACCAGTGTCTGCAATATACTATTTATACCGATCACGAAGTTACCGATATCACATGAATTTTATGCGTGGCGTTTAGCGTCTCTGTTAAATTTGGCTAATATTTCACACAGTTCACCGAGTTACATTTACCATAGTTTATCACATATTTTACAGACTGTATATGCTGTAATTATTACTAATTAACTCTAGTTGTCAAAAGGTAGAGCAATTAACATGTTCCCAGTACGGTATAGAATATATATGATCGAAATAAGGATATATTACATAATCCCTTCAAACACATGAGTTACGAGATATAATATGTCCGGCAAAGTAACAAGAGTCAGTCTCGAAGCATATCTTGTCCCGTACATGAATACTAACATGGATTGTCAGCAAGGCAAGGGCACATGATTATAAAACCTAATGATATACTACTACATGGGTCACATTATCCTTAGCATTTCTACGCGCACTGGCAAAACAGACGATTTCCGTAGAGTAGCAACGCTTTCACACGAGAGCCGACTGCTGTAACCAAACCCTGCACAAACACCATCCCTCTGTTTGCATCCCTCTCCGTCTCTGCCTCCCCAGTAAAGCGACTGACCTACATCTCAAACGATCAAAAAACCAGGACTACATCAGATTGAGACAACATCGACGATTCGACATCAACGAAGCTTACCCGTTTGAGGCCTCTGTTGTTGAATTCATCAGAAGGAAATCACGACAAAAACAACTGCCCCTGTATATTGGTGGTAGAGCAAGCAACAATGTATAAAAAGGGTTTGTTCCGCTCTACAGACCAGCACAAAGGATCGTCCTGGTGGAACCAACAACAAGCTTCGGAGCAGAAAAGAGGGCAGCACCGTCCAATATGCCTGCCACATGTCAGCCTGTTCTGCTAGCATCTATTAGGCCGTTCACACGGACGTTTTTGGCCCGAGCCTAGTTAGGCCCGCGCCAGATTTTGGCTCGAGCGAGCGTTCACACGGACGGTTTTTCGGGCGCTGCCAATTGGCACGAGCCAATTTGGTCCCATCGAAAACGTCGGACCAGCCCGAGCCAAATTTTAGCACCAGCTTTCGGCGAGCGGTATGAGCTGTAGAATCGGATGAGCGGTAGATGCCGCGAGTGTCGAACGTGTACTTTGACGAAATAAGTCCAAACAGTTATAAAATTCGAAAAAATTGATCAGGATGCACGTTTTCAAGATTGATAATTGTACTCGGAACGGAAGTAAACACTCTAAATCGCAACACAACGCCATCTCGCGACATACTGGCAAAGTATCTATGAGATATTTGTGCAATAAAATTAATTTTAATTTGACAGACAGTATTTCCTTGCGTAGCTGTGAACGCTCCGACTCAAACCGGACCGAGCCAAACTTTGGCCCGAGCCAAATTTTAGCCATTTGGCTCGCAGCCAAACATGACCGTGTGAACGCGGTATTATGATAAAATACGATATCGCATATACGCTCTCCTATGACACTATTTGTCATAGGAAGATTCTTCCTATGCAAATATTGTTGTATGTGTTTGTGCGCATCATAGGAGTTTAGGAGCGCTATTATGAACGCAGGCAGTTGAATTGAGCTGTAAAGCGGAACGAAGTTGACTCGCCAATATTTGTCATAGAAAGAATCTTCCTATATGACAAATAGTGTTATAGAAGAGCGTGCAGAACATGTTGGCCACATGCACTCTTTCCTCGTTATAGCTGAACTCACGGAACATGTAAAACGTAATATACGTAAAGGAATATACGTATTTAGGCAAATACAAAAGCTTAGCTTTGTTAAGAACTAACAAGAAACTCCGTCTTGAATGTGAGAGCTACTAGAAGCAATGTACCGGACAGCAGTAACGACTATGAAATGAAATCTGTAATCACACAACTGCAGAACGATACGAACGAAGTTTCTACTACAAAACCAGACAAACAGGCGCAATCAAGGGATAACAAGCACACGAACAAGCCAACTGAATATAAATATATATACATACATGCATGCATGCCCGCACGTACGCACGCACGCACGCACGCACGCTCACACGCACGGTCGCACGCTCGCACGCACGCACGCACGCT